GGTGGAGCAATCACTCTCTGGGCCAATAAGGGCTATTCTTGTTTTACATGTGGCATCCTTCCATTGGCCAATAGGCTCTCCTTTTTCGTGTTGTGATTGTGATTGGTGGCTCCTCTCTGTAGGCCCGCCATGCCCCTTTCTTTGATTGGTGGCTACTTATTCCACATGTCGCTTTCTGGCTGTCTGGGGCTTTGGAGATACAATTTGTGTGATTTTGTGGTATCTTTTGTTGGGACAGTTCTCTGTGCTTGTCTTTTCATTAGGCTGTTGAACGCGTGTGTTAAAGAAAAAATAATTGCAATTATCTGTTCATTTGTTGCAAATTAATTTACCACAAAAACAACACGAAGGTTTGTTAATTTGGTCTCCAATCCTGCCAATGAGCTTTCGAAATCAGATACATCCCAATCGGTGAGAGAAGTCACGTACTCATATCATCAATGGTATCTACGTGCATGAAAGCGTTCAGCCTCGATGGTTTACTATGCTCCATGCGCCCTAGCATGATTGATGATAGTATTTTTCATTAACAGAATATCGAAATAAAATTTACTAGATATCTTGTATTTTTCTTTTTTTCTGATCATATATATACTTCATTGTGTATTTTGTCGTCATGTTTGACACATGTGTAAAATAATAAATTAAATCGTATGTATTAGATATACAATTGGGAAACTATCAAAGGCAACCTTCTAGAATTGGTGGAAATTTTGGGTTTTCCTTGGCCACAAGTATATTTCTTTTTCTTAAATTGACAAGCTTATTTATTTAATTTTCTATTGTTTTAGACTATAGTTTTATCTTTTTGGGATGGCTCTATTGTAGGGGTGTGCAAGATCCCAATTTAATCCACCCAAATCGACCGATTCAATTCAATTTTAATCGGTTTCGATGATTTAATGTATTGGATTGGATTCCTAATTTCTAAAACCGACATGATTGGATAAGATGACGGATTTGCTTGTGAGGATCCAATCAAATTCAATCTAGTTAGTTTCATGCTTGTTTTGCTCATTAGGTAATGAAAAATGAGAGGGAAACCATCTTTAGATACCAAACTTGTGTACCATCTCTCTAATATAAGGTGAGACCTATTGTATTGGTAGGCTTCATCTCTATTAGAGATATAGTACACAAGTTAGTATCTAAAGATGGTCTCCCTAACATGACCCTTAGGTAATTTTCATTAAGAAAGTTATAAACATTTTAAGTAATTTGATGAAGTTATGTTTAATATATTATAAAATAAAAATAATTTTCTCCAATATTTCATTTATATTTTATATTTAGGTCTATTAAAATGTTTGATTATATTAAACTTGACGATAAATGTTTCATATTTCATTATTATCTTTTTCCATTATGAAAACCGATCATCCAATCCAATATTGGATTTAATTGGATTTAAACCTCTAATGTGAACGGATTAGATTGGAAAAATCATAATCCAATCTATATTGGAATCAAATGAGAATTGGTGAAATTGAATTGGTTTCGAACCGATAAACACCCCTACATGCTTGCATGAAAAACAGCCATGATTAAGTAAAACCTAGCAGCTAATTTGAAGGGAAAACATTATAGTATAATTGAAGACCTAAAAAAACAAGTAAATTACACATTTGAAGGGTTAAAATAATGATAATTAAGCTCTGCTAAATTCCTAATTAATGACATCGACATAATGAAAGGAACGGGAAACAGAGAGCATCAAAAGTCTGAATCCAGATGCATGTGGTCAGTTGGTGTTTACTTTGCCTTCTCATTGTTAAAGATATTTCACGAGGCTACAAGTCCTAATTGATTTCATCAGCATTTTCTGAAAGGACAAATATAAAGTTAGTGCATGTAGAGATTATAGGGTGCAATTCAACAACCTTTTATTTTATTTTATATAGTTTTATCTTTCTTTCTTAGTCATCTGAATTCTGAACCATGTTTTTAAAAGTTATTTTGAGTGGTTAAATTAGTTAGTTGAGATCGTGTCATTATGCATTGATAATGTTTTTTGTTTTGTTTTTGTTTTTGTTTTTTGTTTTGTTTTTGTTTTTTTATAGTCGTATAAGCAATATTCTAAATTATAAGGGAGAGAGATTTCTCACACACACAGAGAGATTAAGTGCCCGTTTGGCATTTCTTATTAGGGGTTATAAATGATTTTTTTAAAATTTTGGGAAGCCCAGCCCGTTTGGTAAACTATGAGAAAATCACTTATTGTTAAAAATTGCTGTGAGAGAAAGCTATAAGGGAAAACAGCTAATAATGTGTTTTCATTTTCTGATTATGCAGGAATCAGTTTCGAAAATGCGCTGGGTTTAATGATTATGCGGGAGTCATTTTCTGATTATGCAGGAAATAGTACCAACAACATTTTTAACAAAAAGTTTACTAAATGTCAAACTGCTTTCTCTCACAGCTGATTTCTCTCACAGCAAATCTGACAACGATTATTTTTACAGCACATCAATTCCAAACTGGTCCTAAGTCCTTAATTCAGGAGATAAACTTTAGATACATACAAAATCTTTATATATCATCGGTATTATAGAAACTTATGTTGAAGAAAAACTAGTGCACAAATTATTTCTCTTTTACAAAAGTATTTATTTTTTCTTAGACAGAAATTTTTCTCTTCATCTTCGCTATATGAAATGAGTATCCTTATACTTGTAGACAGTGGCGGAGCCACTCCTAGACCTGGAGTGGCCCTGGCCCCCCCATATTTTTATTACTCCTCTATTATATTATATATAATATATAAAATTTGTAATAAACAACTTAAAATTTAAGTTAAAATTTCCTCTAAAACAAATTAGACATTACTCAATTAAAAATATTTAGCTCTAAACATGTAAGTATTGAATAGTTAGGTGTTTTATATATGTAGATTAATATTATTCAATTCTTGTGGTTGGCACCCAACTTATGCAAGTACTTAAATTGACCATCTACTGAAAAAGTTTATAAAACTTTCATGTGAAGCTTAAATTTTGAATTGAGATCCAGCTTATAATGGTGGAGCCAATTTGTTACGTATAACTACTTTTGGAGCCCACATTTTTAATCTATGGTATAACTTGATCAATCATGATAATCATCATCTCTAGCTAACATGAGGCAATGATTCCTTTCAACTTGCAATCAACAACCAAAATCAAATCCCAAGTCCAAAGGTTTTTGATTTTTGTTTTAATACAAGTGATAGTTTCTCATACACAAGTTGCAACGATGTTATGAGGGTTCGAATATGAAGCCACTGGTCTATAAGTCAAAGACATTTTCCACTTGACTAGACCCAGTTGGCTTTATCTAAATCTTAAATTTGAATTTTAAAATACAAAACCCATTTATTCATGCATCCGAGATTCTAAATTCGATTTCCCCTCTCAACATCGCTTGTATTATAAAATTTAAATAAAAAAAAAAAAAAACCAACCCAATTTCGGTTGACATGAAAAAAACCTACCTGTTATCTCTAGGATTCTTTCTGGCTTCAAAGGTCTTCGATCCCTACCCAACCCATGAAGCAAAAAATGCACATGCAATCGAGTGTACATGTGACTCGTGTTGCACATGGAGTCAAAAAGCTCCAACACCAATTAATTAAAACTCCTTCACTTGCTGTATAAGAAACAGTCAACAATATTGGGTTGGATTTTAAAAAAAAAGAAAAAAAAAGAAAAGAAAAAAAAAGGGGGATGGATTAATTTAGACGTTGACTCATATACATTGCTCACTAACCAAGCATGACATCATAAGCACATCAATTATCACCAGCGAAGAAATATTGAGCATGCCACCACCTAAAGTGATGTTCTTATAAGCACATGTTGGGTTCATGATTGTGACACAATCAAGATTGAGTGCTTTACTTTGCATAAATAGATACTTGGGAATTGTTGTAATTAGTTTGAAGAATCAAATCTTTCTAGGGGAGAGGTTTTCATGTAAGAAAGAAGAATTGTTTTCCATTGCCTATTTTGCAGCATTTGGAAAAAGAATCTGGTGGATGTTGCATGTTGGATGCAGAGTTCCAAATCCTCAAGCAAGAAACTTTTAAGTTTTTGGGTGTCAAATGGTTGCCTTTTCAACTTTGTTATGTTCCTAAAATCTAAAAAGAGTGATACAAACTAAGAAATGCTTGGATATATATGTTGGGTCAAGTCTTACATAGACATAGAGATGATAGATAGATCATAGAGCTCCTCAAGGCTCAACCACTTGAAAAATGTTGATGTTATAGGTAAAACTTTCGGACGGGATTTGAGTGTCTTATATCACACTCTAATTAGATTTTTAATCTGAATGATTTTTTATTAGATTTTTAATCTGAATGATCTTTAATTAGATTTTTAATTTGAATCATTGATCAAGTAAGCAATGGAAAATATGACATTTAACATGAATGAAGATAAAATAAGAAGAAAAAATAACTAATCAAATCCTTTAAAAGTATTCCCTACTTACATGACATTTGATATGCACACTATATCATTGTATTGAGAACACAATCATAATATATATCAAAATTGATAATGTCACATTATAATTCGGACACATATTAAGAATAAGTTGAATTAACATATTTAGAGGCGATAAGTTAACATTTCGAGAAAGATAAGTACACCCTTAAGAAGAAAAGTGTTACCAAGTCAACCTAGAGACAGAGCATGCTATGTTTGTTGCACACACAACATAAAAAGCTAACAAAACTCAAACAACCCGAATGGCATTAACAAAGCAACCACAAAAAGACAGTAGATTTGGGAAGAAATTCCAGTGCAAGATTGAGCCCCAAGTCAACCTACGTCTTTCATACGGCATTATATGAAATACTTGTATTGGTATAGTATATAGAGCTATATACCCTACCATATAGTATAAACTATTAACCGTAGGTGGAGAATTTAACCCAAGTAAACAAAAACAAACCCCCACCCAACCCAACCCAACCCAACGTTTTCTTCTGTTCTACCATACAAACAAACACAAATACCTCAATTCAACCCTTTCCCATACGCTCTCTCTCTAAAACCCACACACACTCTCTCTCTCTAAGAATTTTCACACCCAAAATAACGGCATATTCTCTTCTCTTTCTCCCCATCTCTCTCTTTTGCTCCCAACTTTTCTTGGAAAATCCTTCAAACCAAACCCAAAAAACCCTTCAAAATTATCAATTTTCCCGGGAACCAAACAGCACTTAGAGAATTTTTTGATTCAGATTAAGGGTTGTTCTCTTAATTTGTTTTTGAAATTTTTTCTTTTGTGGGTGTCTGGGGACTGATTCAAAAGAATGGTGGTGAAGATGATGAGGTGGCGTCCATGGCCTCCTCTGACCACGAAGAAGTACGAAGTGAGGCTTGTGGTGCGGAGGTTGGAGGGCTGGGATCTGGTGCGGGAGGCTGCAGGTGGGGCCGACCCACTGGAGAAAGAGGACAAGTGGACGGCGGAGATTATGTGGAAGGGATCGAAGGTCAAGGTCGGGGCCTTGAGCTCTCTCAGGCGTGCCATCGTCAAGAGGAACTTTACCAGAGAGGTCGAGGCTTCTTCCGAAAACGGTGTCATTCAGTGGGACGAGGAATTTCACAGCGTTTGCTCTTTCTCGGCTTACAAGGACAATGTGTTTCACCCTTGGGAGATCGTCTTCACTGTCTTCAATGTAAGTTCCAATTTTGGTTCTCATATTTCTCCTTCGATCTCTTTTGGGTCCCAATCATGTGATAATGTTCTAATTAGTGTGCAAAATTTAGTGGGTTTTTTTTACTCTTCTTCTTCCTTCTTTCTTTCAGCAATTGATAATGAAATTTGGTATAAAATTTTGATGGGATATGGAGGAATTTTGCTTTTTCTGTTCCTTTTTGGTTAAATTTGTTGTTTTAGAATTTCAGTTGTGAAAATCATATCCTTATGTGTGTTGTTTAAAAAAAAATAAAAAAATAATAATGTTATTTGGAGAATTTATTCTGAAAATAGCTTGAAAGTAGAGACCTAATTTTTGAAATTAAAATTAGATACTTATTGTATGTGCCTGCAACTCCTAATTTCTCTTTCAAAGCTGTTGTTGTCATTTGACTTCTTCTCCAGAGGATTTGTTTTAAATTTCCTTAAAATAAAATCATCTCCCTGTATAATTAAGGGTTGGATGGATATGGTGGAGTATTTTTTTTTTTTTATGCTTTTAACAAGGTCAAATTTTGGCTGTTGGACTTTTTTGGAGGGTCATTGACTGCGGCCTTTTCACACTGAGACTTAGAGACAGAGTTAACAATAGATTGGGGCAGTGTTGTTGAAAATCATATATGATCGTCAAGGGGGTTTTTCAGACCATAAGCTTTACAATCTATGAATAGTTGCTTTAATTACCCATTCCTCAAGGTCTTCGAATCACTGAATGTTATTATCTGTCTTTGAATTCAACACCTCTATACTCAGAATTGCTTCTTTTGTTATGGGTTTTATGCGATTTGGTGCTTGAAAGTAGATGTGTTTTGCGATACATATTTCCTTAGCATGAATGAAATATATGGAATTAGAGTGGTGTTCAAATTTCCGTTTCAATATCATTTAATATTTTCTCATAGTTCTTTTCGTTTTTGGTATACTCTATACCATTTTTCTAGAGAACTGAGGTGCAATTCTAATACAGGGTTTGAATCAAGGGCCCAAAAATAAGGCTCCTGTTGTTGGAACAGCATCAGTGAACCTTGCTGAATTTGTTTCGGAAGCTGAACAGAAGGAGCTTCAGTTAAACATCCCCCTCACATCATCTGGTGCTGCTGCTGAGCCATGCCCCTCACTTTGTGTACGTTCCTCCCCATTATTTTCCAGTTATTCTTTCACTTGTGCTATCCTTTCTTGGTATAAATTAGCTTGATCCTGCTGTTTCTTAATTTGCTGAAGTTTTAGAATTTCTGATCTCAAGTTCTGATAAACTTTCAGATATCACTCAGCTTATTGGAACTAAGAACTGCTCAAGAAATCACAGAGCCAGTGCAAAGATCACTCGTGCCTGTTCCATCACCGCCTCAGTCAGCAGAGACTATCTCGACAGAAAAAGATGAGCTTTCTGCTCTTAAAGCTGGGCTTAGAAAAGTAAAGATTTTTACCGAGTATGTGTCTGCTAGAAAAGCAAAAAAGCCCTGTCGTGAGGAGGATGGCAGTGAGGGTAGGTGCTCTGCCAGGAGTGAGGATGGTGAGTATAACTATCCTTTTGACTCTGATTCACTGGATGATTTTGAGGAAGGTGAATCAGAAGAGGTCAAAGAGGATTCCACTGTTAGGAAGTCATTCAGTTATGGCACACTGGCTCATGCAAATTATGCTGGAGGATCAATTTACTCCAATATGAGAATCAATGGTGAAGGTGAGGATTGGGTTTACTACAGCAATCGTAAATCAGATGTGGGGTGCTCACAAGCTGAGGATTCAACTGCATCAGTCTCTGAGCCCTCTGCAAGTTCAAAGCGAGGCTTACTATCATGGAGGAAGAGAAAGCTGAGCTTCATTCGCTCTCCTAAAGCCAAAGGAGAACCATTGTTAAAGAAGGCCTATGGTGAAGAAGGTGGTGATGACATTGATTTTGATCGTCGGCAGCTTAGCTCCGATGAATCCCTATCTCTCGGGGTAAGAATTCATTATTAATTGTTCGCGTTACCATGGTTTAAAAGATAAGATAGGTTGCATTACCAATTTTTGACCATAACTAGTGGAAGCTTGCTTCCAAAGTTTGTTTATCGACTCAGGTTTTGGTTGTTAATTTGAATCCCGGGTTATGGAAACTTCTGTCTTAAAAACCCTTGTGCCAAGATCTTAATTTGTCCTCGATATCAGAATTAATTAACGAAGTAGTTGAACTTAGATAGAACTTGGTCTTTCCTACCAACCTTGAATCTAAAGTTTCTGAACCTAACTAAAGTACGAGACATATGTTGCTTGGATGATTTTCATGATCTTATAAGCTTGTTTCCTTCTAAATTTCTTTATAAATAAAGATTCTCAAGTTCTTATTACAAATAATGTCAAATTTTTTCACAGTGGAACAAGACGGAGGAGGATTCATCTGCTAATCGGTCGTCAGTGTCTGAATTTGGAGATGATAATTTTGCCATAGGTAGTTGGGAGAACAAGGAAGTGACAAACCGTGATGGACACATGAAGCTTCAAACTGAGATCTTTTTTGCTTCTATCGATCAGCGAAGTGAGCGAGCAGCAGGTGAGAGTGCATGCACAGCTCTTGTAGCAGTAATTGCTGATTGGTTTCAGAATAACCGAGAGCTCATGCCCATAAAGTCCCAGTTTGATAGTCTGATTCGAGAAGGCTCATTAGAATGGAGGAATCTTTGTGAAAATGAGACCTATAGGGAGCGATTTCCGGACAAGCACTTTGATCTTGAAACAGTCCTTCAAGCCAAAATACGTCCTCTTTCTGTAGTTTCGGGGAAATCCTTTATTGGTTTTTTCCATCCTGAGGTAGTGGAAGAGGGACGATTTGACTTTTTACATGGTGCAATGTCCTTTGATAACATTTGGGATGAGATTAGCCGTGCTGGATCAGAATGTGCTAGCAATGGTGAACCTCAAGTTTATATTGTCAGCTGGAATGACCATTTCTTCATCCTCAAGGTGGAAGCAGAAGCTTATTACATCATTGATACACTAGGGGAGAGGCTCTATGAGGGATGCAACCAGGCGTATGTCTTAAAGTTTGACAGCAGCACGATAATTTACAAAATGAAAAATATCGCAGAATCATCTGATGATAAAACAACCAGTGATCAAATTGTGGCAGGAGCAGGTGAATCCAAGAACCAGCAGGCCCAGCAAGCCGAACAAGTCAATGAAAAGGAGGAAGGACCAACAGTAGAGGCAGAGATAACCAAGCTGGAGGAGCAGAAGGAGGAAGAGGAGGTTGTGTGTCGAGGGAAGGAGTCATGCAAAGAGTATATAAAGAGCTTTTTGGCTGCAATTCCAATAAGGGAATTGCAGGCAGATATCAAGAAAGGGCTAATGGCATCCACACCTCTTCATCACCGGTTACAGATTGAATTCCACTACACCCAGTTCTTAAAACTGTTGCCTACTACTCCGGTAGCAGAAGTGATGGCAAATGCTTCACAAAGTCTCGAACTTTCCACAACAGAGGTCGCTGCATAAATTATAGGAAGTGTGATTACTCTAACTGTATTGTTTTTTTCCTTTGTTTTTTCCCTTCAACTAAGAGTTCTTAATGGGAACAGGGTTTTAACCAATAGGAAAGTTGTCTTAAGCTTTTTGAGTGGCATGGGAGAGGTAGAGCTTGTATCCCTTTCTAATTTAGGCTGGAAATGAAAGTGTATGATCTAGGCTGGAAATGAAAGTGTATGATTTTAGGCTGGAAATGAAAGCGTGTGTTTCCACGGTTGGAGCTTTGTGCTTGTTAACTTAATTTTGTGGCATAGCCCTTAACTTTGACCATTCTTTGCATGACCGTGTACTTTCTCTTTCATCTGACTCAGCTCTGACTTCTTAGCCAATGTTATCAAACTCTTTCTACACATCTCAAAATTCCCTTTCTATGGCTTTTAACTTTTGCAGACTGGTGTAGTGAAAATCCAACTATTCTGTTCTGCAGCTACTTTGTGGTTCCAATTTCCCATATCATTTCTGATAGCTTTATATCCGCCTCTTACATTTGACAGATGGATTCTGGTTTTGTAAAAATATATTATGTATAAAATCGATTTCAGATATTCCTCCTTCTTTTTTTGGTAAATCTGATATTCCATTCCCAAATTGGTGCATCTCATTAGCTGTAAAGATGCATGGGGAAACTTTTTCCTGAGAAAAAAAGAAAAGAAACAAAAAGATGGATTATGCCTTTCAAGTTTGGTCTACGAGGACATGAAAAGATTCTTCAAAACATGCACGCTGTCTTGAAGGAAAAGTTGAAGCCTGGAAATTTTCCACCACTAGGCACTACCTAAAAAACATAAACATTTAACTCTGCATATGGCATGTGGTGTTTGTTGTTTTCTTTAGAATTTTGGCTCCTGTAGTGCACGTTCAGAATATACCAACCTCTAGGCTGTAGGTACAAGTTTCTGTCGTGGTTTGGCTGAAATGCCTTCTTATTTATTTTCTTTTTATCAACATAAAGGGGATCCGAACATATGTTATTTGACATCCGGACATAACTAGAAATAATAATAATAAATTTGTATAATAAATTCATGTTTGAATCTGTGATCCAAATTAACGGTGTGATAAAATTAGGGATTAGACAGCATACCTTAAGAACATTGCTCTTTTTAAAAGGTTAAATGATTTTCTTCTATAACCAGTAGATCTGATTTTACATTTTTCTTTTCTTTGTGGCCCTAATTGATTTTCATAATCCTTATCATGCCTAATCTCAAACCACCTTCACAATTTATTTCCAACTTCTTTTCAGGCACGATGTTCCTTTGGATATTTTTCTCGAATTTAAATTTATTTCTTTCGGTAATTACCTTATTATGGTAGTGATGGTTTAGGTTGAATATATTTTTTTTCCACCTCTTCAAATGGGAATTTTTTTTGCATAATGTAATGGAGGGTTACATCAATTCAAGCCGGCTTTTGAGGGACTCAACAAAGCAGACAAATGGACCAAGACATTTGCCTTGTCAATGTAATTGTATTTGCAACACAAATCCAACTAAGCTTGAATGCAACAACTGAGAAAAAGTTAAAAGAGCCATCAACATTATGGATAGGGTTGAATTTTTTTTTTTTTTTTTTAAATTTTCAATTCATTAAAGCAATTCTAGTCCGTACAGAAAAGGAAAAAAAAGAAAAGAAAAGAAAAAAGATTTGCACATTAAAGTAGTAGATGTACAAAGCTTTTGATTTGTTTACTCAAACCAAACGAAAAAAGAAAAAGAAAGCTTTCAGTTTACTTCCAGTCACTGTCTTGAGCCAGCCTTAAAACGACTTGACGTTGCAGCCTCTAAATATTGGTATGGATTTATGGGCTTCTAAGTGATTGGTGTCAAAGGATTGGGCTCGGCTTGTTAAGATTTTATAAGAATGCTATATTAAGGGTCTTATATATGCTCTTATATGAGACTATATCTTTTAATCGTTGAATCAAGCGTGATCCAATGGTTAAGTGATAGACATCACTTAAGAGCTATATATAAGGTCCTCACTATAGAATGACCCCTACTTTATTAATTGGGTAGCTTCCAAGCCAACAGGTCTAGCCCAATGGAAATGACCTTGACTTGCAGGTCAGTGATCTCAATTTTGAACCCCTATAGCATCTTGACAATGTGTGCGAGAAAAACCCCCTCCCCTGATATTGGTTGTATCAAAAAATTGGTTAGCTTCCAAACTTTCAAGTTTCAACAATCCAAAGCTAAACCATTTTCCAATCTACTAACTGGCACTTAGTTATCTCCACTTAATTAGAGCAGGTATTTGGTTTGATTCAATGCATATGAATTCGGTACCGTATTTGATGTGAGTTTGATACTTACTTGCGGCGGGACCCATTATGAGGGGATTATCTAATTGTAAATACAACTTTGTAAACATAAATCATTTCCTATCTTTACCATGTCTTAACTATGCCCTAGCCCATGAATGCATGGCCAAGAGTGTTATGTGGTAGACATTCGTTCAAACATCAGTTCACATAATTAATGATCCATATTTGATACCATAGTCTAACATCACTTACATACTATATATATATATATATTCTTTTCTTTTTGTGGGTATGAATAGATGAATTCATAGAAGCTAATGGTAGCAAAGAGAGCAAACCCCAACCAAGAAAGAAAAGACAACATAATTACACCTAACAACAACCTACTTGAACAGCAAAACAAAAGGAAGGAAACGAAACAAGGGCCGAGATCAACCAAGAACAGCATCCCCTGTAACAAGACCAGCAACCAAAGGAAACCATGTCATCATCAGCTAAGGCAATCTCCACTCAGCAGTCAGCAGCCACAACGAGGTTAGAAGAAATAAACTTGAAAGCAACAGAGCAAAGCCTACTTGCCACGGTGGAGATGATACACCGAAGAGAACATTTAAATATACGATACTAGACTGTTTGACAAGAGAACATTTCACTTAATTAGAATATCAAGCCGGTACAAATACTAGCCAACTAACACAGGTTATTTGTAATCTAACAGTAAACTTCATAATCTTGAGTCCCAAGATGCAGTGGTAGGCTGGCTTGCTCTTATATTTTCTCTTCTTGCCCATCAAAATACAAAATAATTAAAACAAGGGAAAGATGCCTTGGCACTTTTAACATAAAGTTGTTGGCGTGAATGCTTCATTATCATGAGCCCCACACCATCCTTTAGTACCTAAACTTTTCCATATCAATGAGTGACTTTTATCTAAATTTTAGGAAGAGCCATGTGCATGGTCTTCGATTGCCCATCATTTCAAATCTTTCATCTGACCACAAGAAGTTTCATTAATCTACTTACAACCTGAGGAGAAAATTAGGATAAACAAATTCCTCTCACCAGACCAAAAACCTCAAGAACTCATTCCACTTGCAGTTCTTTCGGCTTTGAAATCGAAATAAATGGAAATGGAAGCTTTCTTCAAGCCTCAAAATTCCATGTTCAGTTCCAAACTATGCAAAAACAGAACAGTCAGGATTATAAATATAACAATTTAACATGGTTGTGGGACGACAACAATACTACTTAGTACTCTACCATATATGTTAGAGATTCTTACAGCTGAAATTCTACAACATCAGATTGTTAGTTCTTCATATTTCAGACAAGCTAATGCATCACAAATACTAAGCATTTTACAACCCGAAACATAATAACATCGAAACAGGAAAGCTAGTTGAGTTTTTCAGCAGCAGATGGAGCACTTAACTAAACCATTTTCATTGCACTCGGGACATCTAATGTGCAGCTCATCATTCTCATCAAGATCACTGTCTTTGAAGACTCTGCGACTGCCATTGCAGTTGAAGCACACCACAAAACGCATGTTGGCACAGCCGGTGCATGGGGAGTTAGACAGGTCCATTGGGATTCCTTTTAGGAGCTTCTTCAGCTTCCCTTGCTCATGAAGTCCTATTACTTCATCAGCTCCTCCAATGTATCTTCCCTTGATGAAAAGCCTTGGAGGGATCACTCTCCCACCAAATATCCTCCACAACTCTTCCCTGAATCCCATGTGCATCGAAACGTCCCTCTCATGCACCGATACTTTGAAGCTTTCCAGCAAAAACCGGATAGCCTTGCATGCCTCAAACGTTTTTCTGACACCTGTCAAGCTTGTTGAGTAGAGAATGACAGAATTGCCTCCTCCTGGTGGACACTTCTCCTCAAAATCTGATAAAGATGGATGTTGTTCCTCCTCATCATCATTTGCTTCATGAAAAATTTCATGCTCCAAATCGATGTGAGACAAGACCATATCCCCCGAGCTATCATTGGAAGGCACTGTCTCTGTGGACTTCATGGAGGGTGGTATAACAATATTCTCCTTGTGGCCAACATTGAAACCGAATTCCATATCTTCATCTTTGAGCTCTTCTTCATCATTGTGAACTCGCAGAGACAGTGTTTGATGGTTGTGATTGAAGAACTTTTCTGTGGGGTTCAGCTGAAAGAGCAGGCCATTTGTGAAAGTGCCAATTGTTGGGATGGACTTCAATTTCTTGAGAAATTTTCCTCTCACTCCTTTCATCTCTTTGCTTTGTTTAGTTCATGGAATGGCATATGATCACATTCAGATAAAGAGTGGGGAGAAAGGAAGAGTGTATTTGAGTGAAAATGACTGGTCAGGAGATTGGAGGTCCAGAGTAGGATGACATTTTCTCTTTTGTCTTCCAGTGGCTCTCCAAAGTGAAAACTGAGAAAAGTTGGGTGTTGGACGCTTTTTAGTGTTTAGGTGGGGGCTGTTTCTTAGGGCTAATTGACCCGTCACCAAATACCATTCATGATTTAAGTGGTATGATTGTAATTAATTCCATCACATAATTACTAGTTCAAATGACTGAAATGTCCCCTTATGATCACTGAAATGTGTTGGTCAGCTTTATTTTTATTTTTTGGATACAAGCGATATCAAGGAATGAAAAATCGAACCTAGGATCTCGGGTGTATGAGTATATGTTTCTAACCACTTGAGCTATAAATCCCTTACAATGCGGTTATGCCGATCGTATGTCCGAGGGACAAGAGTTAATTCCGGGGAGACAGTGAGGTGTGCCTATTAGACCATGATTCATTCTGAAGCGAGCAAAAAGCAGAGCTTTTTCTTTTTTCCTCTTTCTATCAGCTGGGCTTTGGAACCCTCGAGATGACAACTAAAGTGACTTTTTGTACCCGCAATCACCACCCAACCATCACGGCCATCATGTTGCAAGATGAAGTCTAAACTCAAAAGCTTCTACACTCATCTCAAAACCCTCCAAAAATTGTGTTATTATAGCAGTAAGCAGCAAGAATATCCTCAACCACAAGGTAGTTTGCTTGCATAAAGCATGCGTTAATTGTGGGTGCATCAAATCTTGGGCCCTGTATCTTTCTATGCCGATTTTGTAAGGGTAAGTTATAGCGCGGTGGTTCTATCATTTGATATCAGAAAGGTAGTTGTTGGGGATGGGGTCTCTTGGGTTGGGACGCTACCTATGTAAAGCATAATCCATAGAGTCCACGCAGTTGGCAATGATTGGCCACCGTGACTGGCGGCTTGCAATTCAGTTCTTTTTTCGGGATCGAAAGAAGAGTGAAGATTCGAACTTAAGACCTGAGACCTCTATTAAGACCTCTGTTAATGTTTGGCTGGAAAAAAAATACCACCAACGGGATCATTGATTCATGGTCATCAACTATTTTCTGTGTAGTGTATGAAACAGTTTCTTCTACCCACAAATGTAGTCTATAATCAATTCATGGATGGAAGCACAAATTTCTGTATGAAGTAAGGCTTAGGCACTCTGGAACTACACTTGACTCGGTGTGAGCCAACACTATGGGCCAAAGATTGCATGTGCCTTGCACCTGCTTGTTATATGATTTAACAATTTTATTGTTCTTTATGGTTTTTCCTAGCCAAGCCAAAAATTTCTTGTCATCCTAGGATTACACTTTATAGCATGAAATATAACAATATCTCATATTTAAATTCCTGTTCCATAACTTCCAATAGTCTTAACAAGTAGATGGAATGACAATGATTTACACATCACAACGTACCAGCAAATTTGAAGTATAAGTATGGACCTGGATAATTCTTACATGCTACATAATGTAGTTTCGATAGATATACCAAAAGACCAACATTTGACGCACTTAACTATCAGCCACGGATGAATCAGATGATGCAAACCCGATGTCAAAATCAAAGGCAATGCATGTCAGTTCATGTTTGTTTCCGTCGTACAACCTCATTTTGAGAGAGTATGAACCCTGCATGTCCCAAATTTGGTCAGAATACAAGACGCAGCAGAAGAACACAAATATAAACATCACAAAAGAAAACTGCTGATAATAGAGAGGACATAATGACAGTGGCAATTATAATGGGGGCAGGGTAATTCCAAAAGCAATTTGAGAATCGAATAGGAAACAAATCAAACACAACACAGCAGCAATTTGAATAATGACACAGAATGACGTATAATCCAAATGCAGATTATTAGAGTATTCAAAAGTTGAAGTTTTACCACGAGCTAAACAAGAGGGATGATCCTAGTAATTTTTTAATCATAGGAATGTCTAATTTATGGAGCTTGAGATTCAATAGAATTCAAATCTCAAAATTCATATGCAACATTCAATTAACAGATCTACGATAAGTAAGCGAAACCTGAAAAAGAAATTTGGTCGAAAGCGAAACCTGAATTTAAAATGCCCAAATACAGACTGAAAATGGCAAGTAGCAGCAAAAGGCAAAGCACTTGGTTTCAGAAAAAGCACACTTCTTAGACAACTTAAGAAGATGACTATTACATGCTACTAATTACAAACTAACTGCAAGCAATGAGTTCACCTACAGCTCATAGAATTGGTGCAAGGAAATTTTGTTTGTTGGAGAATATACCAATCAGTTTTTTAGCTTGGCTATAAAGAAGTGGGTGCAATGCTGGACATGCAGAGAAAGAGGGGAAAAGATATTGTAATGCTAGAAGCCTAGAAGAAGAACAAGAATTTTGATCACAGCATTGATGATCGATAACCTGGCTTGGTTTTATGTCCTCTTCGCACTACACAGAATACACACGAAGAAGAAGATTGGAAAACAGCAACACTTTGCAAACATGCATTCAATAAAGTGATCCATTGTGCACCATGGTCATGGACAGTGAAATTGCACCAATGTGATAACTTAGAATAATGCATTTGGCTGTCTTCATTCACTTTCTAATGTGGCTATCTAACAGTTAATATAAACTATTTCATTGTATTTACAAAATGTGGGCGGGATCACCTTAAATTTGTATTGGATTATTTGGAAACTAAAAATTAAACTCAGTGCCTTATTCAAGTTTGTAGAGACAACTCACTGGAAACACTGAAAAACTTAAATCATACAAGTTTATTAGGCAAGGACTTACAGGTGGAGTATATCCAGGCAAATCTTGCGAGTGAGCAATCACGAAATCACCAGTTGAAACAGGGCAAGATGTTTCTGAGCAAAGGTCATGAGTCTCACTGTGGATGTGCCAACCAAAGTATGAAACCTCAATCACCAATTTTCCTCCAGAGATTGATTCACCTGTTAGCAGAACATATAGAACTCCAGTCAAAACTAAACTCCCCAAGCTCTTCGAATGATATTGGATTATCCGAGTGGTTTTTGTGTTTATCTAAAATTACATGAAAAAAAAAAAGAGTCACTCAAGAAGTTAAATGTTGGACTGAAGTAGAACCTGTAGTTGCAGAAATGCTGAAGCTGGCAGGCTTGCCTCTCGCCACAGGGTAAGGAATTATCTCGACTGCCTTGACCTTGACATCATAGTCAGCCTTCTTATCTGAACATATTCCAAAAACCCGCTTAAGTTTCATTGAACCAAAAGCAGTGCAACAAGCAACAAAGAAACCATAATAAAATACGACACTGAAACACCATTTGTTTGAATACATGCATACATCCGATACCAAAATTTCCTAAAGAGAAACAACATTCAGATATATATTTTTTTCTTGTCTTGGAAAATATTGCAAAATTCAACTTTGACTACGCAATATCAAAGATTTCTTCATGTTGTGTTTGTGTCAAAATAAACAGAGCCCAAATCGAATTTGACTTCAAACAATCAGTTGAAATACGGTAAAAAAGTGGAAAAGTAATGATTTTCTCGGGAATCAAACAGATAAGTAAAAGCTTAATCTGCAAGCAAAGTATCATACTTTAATAAAATTTATGAAAGGAAAAGAGCCAAGGATTAGAGAGACGAACCGCAGTAGTTAACATCTTTGGCTTGGATGAGAGGTAGAACGAGACATAGAGATACAAGGAGGGAAGCGATGAGCTTGAACTGAGCCATATCTTCACGGATTGCTTTCCTCGATTCAAAAATAAACAATATTATCCGAAAAAAACCTGTGAGAAATTAAGGGTTTATAAAGACCAGAAGACAGAGAGACAGAGAGAGAAAGACAGGTTTTTTGTTCTGTGAGAGAAAGGATTGAAGGTAGATGAGAAGAAGAATGAGTCTGAAGATGAGCGACGACTTATCGGTTAGAGACAGAGGAACGTTAGGTGGAACGAAGTAAAGACTTTTCTTATTTATGGGTTTCTCCGCTGGCACCGACTTATTTAAAAACTTCCATAATTTACTTTACTAATTTACTATTGACGTAAGTAAATAATAAAATAAAACAAATTTACCTTTATATAATGAGGCCCGGTCCTGGTATGTTGCTGTAGTGTGCCCGTATAGGCTATAATAAGGAGTTTAAAGTGAGGAGGTTATTTGAGGACGTCAATCTCACCATCAACAAATGTAAAGAAATCATGAGACTTAAATATTTTAAATGTTTTGATGGTGGGATCGGTCCCCTCAAATAGCCTTCTCACTTTAAACTTCTCATTGTAATAAGTGTGCCAGTCCCACTTTAGCACATGGCCTTCAAAATCGTACTAGCGGCCCAATACATGATAGTTTCACTCAAGGTTTACTTGGGATTGATTTTGAATAGGGCAACAATCAATTCCATGAATAATAAGCTAATGAGATCGTTTGTGACTGCTCCTCTAGAAATCACTTATGCTCATAAATGCTTCTAGCAAAAGCCCTTTTCCAGTAAGCACTTGGAAGTGCTTTCAGAACCCACAACTATTCTTACCCTCACGTACCTTAGCACATAGAGCAAATCGCCTCAAGGATTTGAATATGTCCACGACATTCGAATTGTAGCCAGACCAACAATTCGACGCCTCTTTCTCCATTCTAGGATTCGAACTTGCTTCTTGATCTTCTTCTTCACAACGTTATGTGAGAATTTTTGTATTGAATTGATGTTGGGTTAAAGGGGGCAACGACTTGGAAACCTTGGAATGCATTCCAAGGATGAGCTAGTTTTCTCTTTTTGGAAATGCCCTTCACATTGACTAATTGGATTGTGCATTAACGTTGGGTATTAAATTTATAAAATTGAAACCTCAAGGCCCATTTTGATATTGCACCTATATTTCGAGGGACTAAAATGTCGCTTGTCCTATTATAAGATATATAATTACCCATTGGTTCAGCAACCGAAATTGTTTCTAAAAAAAATTAAAACTTAATTAAGCGAATAAATAGTGTACATAATTTACCCAAATCATGGTAAATTTAAACATCATAGCTGGTATTGACTATGAAACTATGATCTAGAAATTAATAAAAGTTAGTTCTTTGTTTTGTTATTTGACATTGTACAATTTCAAGTCTTCAATCTTGCTGGCGAACCGTTAATAATGTAGAGATTTGAAAGTAACTGCTTATCAATTGGTCATTAGGCGAGCTGAAAGTATTGGGCTTTGAAATTAGGAAATGTAATTTTGAGGCCTTATTCGTTTTGAGACCTTCAAAGAAATCTCTTTGGTCTCAAGCTGCCGCCTCCTCCATCTTCTGAACCCAAGCTAAACCTTAGTCTTCCGACGACGACGACAACGACAGCGGTGATCTATCTTAAAGTGGTAAGCCCCAGTCGCTTACTCTCACACTCAAACATGTATATGTAGGAATTTTAATGCTCACCAAGATTCATTTCAGATTTTGTTTTTCACCCCGCCTCTTCCCTCCTCTCCCTCTCTCTCTCTCTCCCTCTCTCTGGCTCTGGTTTTCCATCGGTATGAAAACTCTTGAAAATTTCTATAGTTTTGATGTTATTTCTTTGTTTTTGACCATTTTAATGCGTTGATGTTTCCGATTTAGGGGTTTTGGACTGTTTGAATTTGATTCATGTCATTCACCTTTCCGTTTTTTCATCTGGGTTTTTTTTTTGGGTATGTTTGATAGTCCTCTTTTATTGAAACTTCAATGGATGAAGGAAATTATTATGGAAATGAAAAAACCCTTTGACACACACGCAGTAATTTGGACTGTGTTGTGTTGTGAGACTGCTGCTGCCATCTTTCCTGCAACTTAGCCTTATGATAAAAACATATCCATTTCTCTCGTATTGTGAGCTTGGTATTCTCATGTTGATGTATGTGATGTATGGTTATATGAAGTATGGTTTGTTTCCAGTTGTTTCTCATTGCATTGATGATTGTAGTATTTTTTCCTTTATTCCCAAGTGTAGGCTACACATATCGAATAGTGTGGATGTAAAATGTTTATGAGTTTTTTTTATTTTTTATTTTTTCATAACCTATATATAGTTGCTTTGGAGCATAGGTTATGATAAATAGGGCTGAATTTGTGTGAGATCCATACAATTGTTAATTCTTCTGTTTCCAGAATGCTTACTGGGTGGGTGTTTTCAGGAGCATTTACTTAAATGGAAGCCAAATTTTTTCGCTTTCTTAAGATTGTGGGTGTGGGCTACAAAGCCAGGGCTGAAGCTGAAGGACGCCTGTTGCTTCTGAAATTGGGTTACAGTCATGAGGTTGAGTTGACCGTTCCCCCTGCTGTTCGTGTTTTCTGCTTCAAGAACAATGTCGTTTGCTGCACTGGAATTGATAAAGATAGGGTGCACCAGTTTGCTGCTTCCGTGCGTAGTTGTAAGCCACCTGAAGTTTACAAAGGCAAGGGTATAATGTACGTTGATGAAGTTATTAAGAAGAAGCAAGGAAAGAAGTCTAAGTGATTGGATGTCTCAAAGCTTATCTGTGGCTGGAAATTGGTAATCTTTCTTTTTGCGTTCTGGTTGTAATCAGAAAATAGCAGTAGTCTGGGGTTTTCTTTCAAACTATTGTCTTTTTAATATAGGTTTCTTAGTTGATCCCTTATCCTCATTTAGGGTTTCGTAGTCTCTACTTTTGGGGCTTTCCTGAATGGACTATGGAGTTCAGGTTTCTCCTACTTCGGAACCATAGTGGAGACGAAGTTAACCTCAGAACACATTAAATTTTAGATGTTAAACTGAAGGATTCACTGATGATTATTCTTGGACAGGACTAGCCTATGATTTAAGAATCTTGGCTTAAAAATTGCATGTCTATGCTGTAATTGTCGCTCAACTGGTAAGGAATGAGGTGGGTGAAGGTCTAAATTTTCTTATTTCTACTGAGGGACAATAATAATTGTTGTAAGGTGTACACGTTCTGAAAACATTGAAGTTACAATTTCTGTTATAAATTTGCGTCACAACTCTGATAATTTGTCGAACGGTGACTCTTTACTAAATATGAGTCCGTTGTGTACAAAGACACACCATATGTCCTTAAAATGGAAAATTTGCTTGAAACTCTGGTGGTGTCATGTAGCTAGAATCAATACTTGGATAATTGTTTGAATACTAGTTTGTATATTTGGAAGTTGATGAATATAGACTTGGTATGATTCAACAATATTTGAAAATTTGTTTTGGCCATTTTCGGTTTTATTATGTTTATTTGGGGTTTTATATCCTCATTTGTTCCTGGGAATTGGGTGATTTGCTTCTAAGATTGAAAACGATGTCGCTTTGGATTTTGGAGATGTGAGATGAAGATGGTTGATTAAATTTAATGGTATATGGAAGATGGTTTCACTCTCTCTCCTTCTTTTTTTCTTACTTGGAGTAGCTTGATGGTGCTAGAGGGAAGAAAACTATTTCATGGTTATCATTTTTTCAACTGGAATATAATTGGGACTACACGAACTCTTTCCTTTTGATAAGAATCTATGTGGTTAGTTATTCATTTCTTTTGTCATGTAAGTTGACTGATTCTTTTGTTGATTCTGCTGGTTATCCTAGGGGATGAGAAATCATTTCTTTTGTTAGGCCCCGGTTCACAAGACGAATTTGAGGGGAAATCACTTTCTATGTCATTTTTCAAGGATAGAAAATGAACCATGTTTGGTAATGCTAAGAAAGTAACAGGGAGATATCACTTTATTTCATTTCCCATGTTTGTTTTGAGTAGGAATGGAAAACAAAGTTTGTATACCATTATACCCATATTAAATCAAATAAAAAAAAGAATGCATTAAATGAAATGATATATATTGTAATTCTAAATTGTTAGTGGGGACAAAATAGTCACGTTAAATATGCATTTAATGTTGGCTTATTTTTCTAAATTTTCTCATGAGGACCGAAAACAAAATCCAAAGGGGGAGGAGGGCTTTACTTTCCCATGTGCTAGGCAACAATTTCTTATACTTGGACTTACCAAACATGATAAAGCAATTGATTTCTTATTCTCAAGTCTCCTTTCTTATGAACCAAATAGGGCCTAAATGTTTTACTATATTTGGTGTGGATTTATCGGATGGTGATGCTTGTATCTGGTTTTCAAACAAAATGGGTGATTTTGGATTCTGGGTATTTTGGTCTTTGAGTTTTCATTGAAAATGGTAATGGTGTGCATGTGTTTTGGTTTTGGGTGATAGTCTGGTAGAGTTTGTATACTATGGTGAAAATTGAAGAATCGGAACAATAATTAGGTATGTGTTTGGATCCGTTAACTAAACAAATGTTTAATCCACTAACATATCTAAGAACGACTGAGATTAGAATTTTTTTTAACTACTTCTTAATGCAAATCCTTATTTGAGAAGTATTTTGTATAACTTTTTGATGCTTGAGCATTTTGTTTGTGTTCAAATTCGAAGGATGACATCTAATTTATAAAACAATAAAAATTAAAGATTCAAAGAATAAAAGTTCAGATTTTTTTTAACTTCCCTATTTGTGATCAGTGAGCTGCGCATATGAGATGATGTTTCTTATGTCTTACCCTTTTCAACCCCATTGTTTCTCATGGCCTAACCCCTTTCGTCCCCAATTTTTCTCAAGGAAAATTCTTGGTTCCACACATGCAAGGACGCATTTCACTTTACAAGCAACTGACAATTTGGCATGCGCACATAAGCTTTTGTTGATGAGTCAATTTTGTACGTGTCAGATTGTGATTGTGATTTGGGTGAATGACTCTTACCAGTAAGCATTAAGGCTTCAGTTATAAAACCTTATAAGGAATTTTTTTTTTTTGAGCAAGCTGGTTTTGATTTGGAACTTGGACTTTTTTTTCCTTTCAAAAACTGGATAAATTCAAGAAAATTAATAGCTAATTGGTTGATTTCATAAAATTTCCTGACTCATTTAAATCACATGACCAGGGGTTTTGGGCAGAGGAGATCGAAGGCACAACTATGTTCAATTGGCTTTGCATAAGATCAAACACAAACTGAACACAACGTAGGATGCCTGTGCAAGACTGTGACATGTCCTCCAAGAAAATAGGTTTCTCTTTTGATTTTCCATTGGACTAAATCTCAAGCAAGGTAAGATGCAAACTAAAAGTTACACATCTCCCACACTAAATAGACTGAACAGAGTAAACAGACAGAAGCAAAGAAAACATCCCCTGTTAAATACACATATTCTTTAAAAAAAAAAAAAAAAACTTTTTCTTTTTTAAAGGAAAAGAAAAGGATAAATTCCTACTAGTGGTTGAGTTCAAGAATCTTCGTTGTCAAGCAGCAATCAAAGCGACTTCTTTAAACTCCAATATTCTCTCTCTTTTAGACTAGCGTGTATGTGAGCTTCTTTGTAGAAGAAGACGAAGACACAACAACTTGAACAAAATTACTATAAAAATTCAAAATCCCATTACCTATAAAAGCAAGAATGCATCAGGGATGTTTTATTGAGAGAGCGAGCTTCCTTCCTTTCTGTCTGTCTCTCTTTCTTGTTGCTATTAACAGCTACTTCTACATTTCTCTCTCTTCACAGCCATTGATTTGCTTATCCATGCAGAATTCGCAGTTCATCCTTTCCTCTTTTTTTTATATTTCATACAAATAATACTGTGGAGGGTGGATTCTAACACATGCTCTCGGTGACAAGGATAACTTCTCTTAACCACTTGAGCTGCAAGTCTTTCGCAATTCCCAGTTCATCCTTAATTTAGGTAATGTACGGAAACACTCTTGTGATTGGTTCATCCTTAATATATATATATATATATATATACACACACACACGTACATATTTCATTTGTTTTTAATTTTGTGATTGGTTAATGAACGACCTGACCAACTTATTAGTGATAGAAAGAGAGATGGCTGAGCAGCAAATTCAACATTTCAGTCACAAGCATCCATTGATATTCAAGAAGGAGCAGAACGACAGTGGCTTGGTTTTTTGCTCAGTGTGCGAGGACCCAGTGCTTGGCTCAAGCTACACTTGCAACCAATGCAGCCCGGCCTTCATTCTCCATAAATCTTGTGCAGATAAACTAACTCGTGAGATAGACAACCCGATCCACCCCAAACACCCACTTAGTCTCCATCCACCCCAAAATGGCAACTTCTGTAGTGACTGTACCCAACCATGCAGCGGCTTCATCTACTACTGTCATTTCTGTAAATTCGGAATAGACCTCAAATGCGCTTCTAAGTGGGAAAACTACCGTCATGACCACAAATTCACCGTCCTGAAGAACCGTACTATTAAATTCACTTGTGATGTCTGTGGCAAAGATGGCGACGTCGACTTATACCTCTGTGGCATCTGCCAGCTCATGGTGCATAAGCAATGCTCTTGGCTACCACGCCATGTCAAAATAGGAGACCACAATCACATACTCAAGCTCACCTGGCGCTTTGAAGACATTTACCCCAAAAAGCAACGTTTCTGCTCCTTTTGCAATGAACTCATGGACCAAAGCCGCGCTGTTTATTATTGTCATGAATGTTGCAGGTATGTTGCCCACAATACATGCGCCGAAAAAAATGTTCAAATCACTGACGCCACCAAGGGGACCACTCCCGACGACGACCCCAAACATAAGAACAACCAAACAAAATCAGAACCAGCTGCGCAGATCAACCAAACAAAATCAGAACCAGCTGCGCAGATCAACCAAGCAAAATCAGAACCAGCTGCGCAGATCAACCAAACAAAATCAGAACCAGCTGTGCAGATCAAACATTTTAGTCATCAACATCACTTAACCCTCATCACTGATCATCATGAGCTAGATAAAGATAAAGATAATGATCACCTTGATGATAGAATAAATACTTGTAATGGTTGCATGCGGCCCATCACTACTACAGATGCCTTTTATAGATGTGCAGGACAAGAAGAGTCATCATGTCATTTCTTTCTCCACTTAATTTGTGCCCAATTAGATCAAAAGAGGCGTTTTGCACTTCACAGAAAGCACGAGCTCACACTCCTTCCGAGGGCTCCTTCTATTGATGGCGTTTTTAGGTGTTACATGTGCAATACTTTTAGCCAAGGCTTCGGATACTACTGTGATCATAGGGGCTGTGACGTCCACTTTATCAAGGAGGAAGGCTTCTACCTTGACCTTCACTGCAGTATTCTTTGGGAATATAATAAGTCTCTTAAACATGAGGCACACCATCATGACCTCTACTTCAAAATAAAAAGGGGTAGAAGTTCTAATCAATGTAAGGGTTGTGGTGCTTCTAAGCACATTGGTTGGTTCAGTTGTACTATTTTGGCATGCAACTTCAACCTTTGTATTCCATGTGTTAAATTACCTCTCACAGCCCAGCACAGATATGACGATCACCATCTCAAGCTCACCTATAGTGTTACAGACATGCTAGCTGAACATTATTGTGAAATATGCGAAGGACCACGAGATCCGAAACATTGGTTCTACTCCTGCTCAGATTGCGACTTTCATTGCCATCCTCATTGCATTCTAGGGAGGTATCCGCAAGTCAAGTTA